TTTTTTTTTTTTTTTTTTTTTTTGCGCGCGAACATGTGCGGCGAGACATGCGAGTCCAATTGTTGTGTCAGTAGTGGTGCCACGGCGAGGATGAGACTTGTGTGGGAACATGACATCCTCTCAGCATGCGCATTTCTGCTGACCAGAAGACCCGAAAAGCCTCAACATGGCACCCAGATGTCAGCCCTCCCCTCGGCACACACTCTGGAATCTTTTTTTTTTTTTCGATGGGTGGGTGGGGAGGCAGGAGGCTCACCCTTCTCCACACTATTGTCGCTCAGAGGACAGGCTTGACTGATGTTGGCCCGATATCAAGAAATACCTGCAGGGTTCCTTTAACTCGGGCTCCTCGGCGGCGAGGCGCGAGACTGTCGACATCTCGCCGCTCGCCAGCCCAAAAAAGCTGTGACTCATATTCTCAGTTATGCCGTTTATGTAGCCCTGTCGGGGAGGGAAGGGAGGCTTGGTCACACACACACACACACACACACACACCCCCCTCCCCCCACCCCCTTCACATCGGTTGAGGTGGCTCCCTTGTAAAAATGGAGAATGTTTGGAAAATAGCCACCGGCATAACACGTTTTATCAAAACTTTTTGTTCTTTTAAATACAGGGCGGGAACGTGTTTGGGGTGGGGGGGGGGATCTCATGCGAGGGAATCCCCCACAGTCTTATTTTTATATAATTTTTTTAGGCCTCTCAATTAATTGCTTTTGATATGTTTCAAGAAAATGTAAACAAACACAAAAAACATTACCAGCATATAATAAACCTTTTTTTTTGTTTTTATCATGGACGTATTTCAGAATATTTTACAGGTCAAGAATATTTAGTTTAGATGAAAATGCAAATTACTACACACATTTTTGTCAAAAAGATGAATGAATTGACGATTTTTGAAGTCGTCCAGAATGATGTCATCTTTGTCGGAATTCTGATGAAACGCTCCCGATGTGCTCAAGTGGATTCCAAATCGGTCCAATCTCGAGAAATTTAAGTTAACTGTTTTCACATGAGCTCTTATTAATCTGAAAAATCATCTCAAATTTGAAACGCATTAGTGCCCAATTTTGTTCTAAAAAAAAAAAAATCTGTTTAAAAAAAGCGGCAGGAATTACTGAAAAATAATTGTTGTGAACAAGCCGATGCACATCACCGACTTTGAAATTGAGTCATTCAATTCATCAGGAAATCAATAGAATTATTTTATTTGTGTGTGTGTGTGTGTGTGTGTGTGTGTGTGTGTGTGTGTGTGTGTGTGTGTGTGTGATGGCTCCGGTGTCCCTGGTATGTTTAAAAAAAAAAAGTGCGATTCACTCATAGAACGCATCCGCATCGTTCTCCTTTCCCAATGCGCGTTGCCATGGGAACCGCGGGATGACTCCCATCGAGGCGGCTCAACAACAACAACAACAAAAAAAGAAAGAGGACAAAATGACAGCCGATGCCGAGCGCGTTCAATCATAGAGCAATTGCAACATTTATTGAAGTGTTGGCTTTCTTGTATTGATTTTTCAACACATTACAAAAATACATATATGCTCAAAACAGCAGGTGTTCTGAGATGACTTTTTTTTTTGTTTTGGGTTTTTTTTTTGTGTTTTTGTTTTTTGTTTTTTTTTTGCACAACAATGCACTCTGCCCGCCCTCCCTTCCCGTTCCAACCGGAAATAAAAAGCAACCAGGAAGAAAAAAAAAGTCCATTTGTACAAAGAGCCAAAGTGGAAGTTGTGAAAAGTGAAATCAGGGTCTCTTTTTTTTTTTTCCTCCTCTCTCTTTCTCTCTCAAATTGTGTCATCACAAGACCTTCAAGCAACCATGAGGACACACACACTCACACACACACACGAACACACACTCTTGCTCTTACAAAACCTAAAAGAAATATGTCTCAGTAGGTGGAAATGTGTCCCTGCAAGTCCTTTTTATTTTATTTTTTTTCTTCTCCCCTTAAAAAAAAAAAACAAAAAAAAAAAACATGGCACCTCATTCTGGCATGATTGTGTAACTTTTCAAATCCCTCCACCAGCATACAAAAAAAAAAAAAAAAAGGGGGGAAAAAATACTTATTT